AGTGGAAATAATACAACGTAAAGAATACAGAGAATAATTTTGTTTACATATTTATGAAAATAAAATAACATAAATTATAAAATAACATAAAATACATAAAAGTAAATTTACTTTTCTGAGAATGTTTAGGCCAGCAGAGAAGGCCTTGCTGGCCCTCAGGGTCCGCCACTGCCGGTAATTAATTCACTTGTGTGATTTTGCTTTTTAATTGTGATCTTTTTTTTAATTATTATCATGGTGTATTATGTTAGTTTTTTTTATTTTTAGGGAAGCACTTTTTTCAGATGCATTTTTAAAAGAAATCTAAATAAAATTGAGCTCAGAGTTTGGTGATCTGTGCCACAACAATATGCTTCTAAAATACTACCACACAAACAATTACAGTCTCTATTTCAATGTTTTGATTGAACTTAGCGTACATAAAGGTAACAATATAGGGTGAGAAAAGTTTGTGAAGGTTTGGATTGAATAACAGGTTCAATCTCTTTTGGCAGCATTAACGTCAAACAAATGTCTCATGTATAGTTGCAGATCAGGTAGAACCATTCATGTTTCCAAAACTTCAAATTCAAAAATATCCTTTGAATGTCTGTGAAAGACTCTCTCCATAGCATTTTCATGTTTTATTTTCTTCTCTTGAAGCCATCCATTTAATGAATTTACTTCAGAACTTTGGAACGGTGTCCGGTGTTGAGCTTCATATGATGGTCCTAAATATTCCAGCAAACTACTGTATTGTATTTTGATAAACTCAGGGATTCATTTTTCTGTCAATGATGACAATGCGTCCAGGCAGAGAGCTAGAAAAGCAGTCCCAAATCATGATTCCCCCTCCACCAAATTTCACAGTTGTAATTAGGCCCCAATTACAACTGTGAAATTTGGGTGATGTTGGTGTGCACCTTTGGCTTCATTTGTCCACACAAAAAATGGTATCCGTTTCTGCACTCTTCAAATCGGTGGAATATTTGTTTGGACAGCTGTGGCCTTTGTTGCTTAATGTTTTCATTTCTTGTATTTGTTAACAGCGATGTTGTCAGGTTACAGAGATTTCTGTGATACTGTAGCCCAAACGCTACAGGATTTTTATTGACCATAAAGATTTACATTTCCAATCTCGTCTCGACGGAGCCCGAAACATGACACTTGGAAAAAAAAGAAACGACTTTGTGCACACGCTGTAACTATAAATGTACACACAGGGAACTCATTTGTGGGCACGAACTACTACTTCGTGCGCAAGGACGACGACATTGTGTGCACAAAATACTGTAGTTAGAAAGTGCGCACAAAGTAGTTGTCCGTGCGCATGCTATAGCCGTGGCTCCTTGCGGGTCATAAGAACATAAAATCGAACGCATCTTCTCTCAAAGTTGAAAGGTCGAAGGATAGCTACATAATGGACAGGGACGGCGAGATTATATTTTATTTTAGGTTTGGGATTAGTTACAAGGACACCATGAAAATCTTGGAATCGCTAGGAATCATTATCACCGAGAGACATTTGAGTAGGCTCTTGAGAGCCATCTCGCTTTACCGGCGGAGGTACGACTGGGACACCAGGATCGATTTATTTTTCAGCAAACTGCAATGCTCTGGGAGGAATCATGATTACAGGCGGATGTATACGAAATGAAAACTTTTTGTCACAATATCACTACTTAATGTGGGTATAAAATAAAAACGTCACATGCAATAATTTGTGAGTTTTTTGGAGGCACTGATTAGGTCAGTGAGAAGGGAGTCAGTGAAGATGCGCTCGATTTGTCCAACCAATTGTCCATTAAGGGATCGGCGCTACTTCATGGCACGTCATGACCATTTCGAGGGCACGCTCTATTTCATGCACACGAAATAATAGTTCGTGCACACTAAGTAGTAATCGGTGTGCACGAAATAGGTGTGTGCACAAATAAGTAGTTTGTGTGCACAAATTAGTTATTCGTTCACACAAATTAGTAATTCGTGCTCACAAAGTAGTTTTTTTCAGTT